CTGCTTTATGCAGTGCACGGCTGTGCGAGCCATGTGCTGCAGAAGCGATGAATTAAGCTGTAAAGTGCAACACTGTGCACGGCATCCCATTTTTGGATAGCCCTGGAGAGTAACGTGGGAGCTGTACACAAGTGCATCAAGTCTGCTTGCCTGTGCAGCAACTAATTTCATACCTATGCTATGAAAACCTTGGAACATCTGTGTAGTGCACAGACCAAGCGGTTCTTTCCCAGCTAGACAGGAGGAATTCATATCCCTTGCACTGACACACACAGATTGCCAGGTTGGTTAAATGCTCTGGTGTGTTGGATAACGTGTGCAGGTCATTGAACTTCAGTAGTACTGGAACGTGTGGAACAAACACACTTGAAATGAAGAGATTCCCAGCCTTGGGGCTGTGGCTGCAACCCTGCAAGGTGCCCAATGTGCCAAATGTATTCTTCAGCATTGTATCTGAACAAAAATCCTTTGTCACTCCCTAGAATTGCTAAAAATGCTAGTTGTATTTTATAGATAAATGATTGGCTGTGAGTTGTTGGCATCAGCAACGCTGCAGGCTTCACCACGATGCCTGGCCAGACCTGGGAAATTGGTGCAGGGCTGGAGGAGTGCAGTGTCACTGTTAGGGCAGCAGCTGGGTGAGTGGGGGGGCTTGTTGAGAGATTTCTGTGACCAGGACTCAACAGCTGCATGCAGGACAGCTCTGATCAAATCACACAGCGTCAGCTGGGGGAAGCAGCACCGCTTTATGGAGGCTGCCTTTTTACTTTGGAGGTTTCTGAGGTGTTACATAGTTTGCCACTATCATGATTGCCACAGCACATGTTCTGTGGAGCCATCTTGCCAGCAGCTTGATATGTAGCTACAGAAAATGAAACAAGAAAATTCTCACCTTCCTCACTTCTTCCCCTCAAATGAAGTAATTTGAAAAGTGCAGAGCTCTGTTCAAAAGCAGAATCATCCAGGAAAGGAAATTTGTCCTGAGAGAGGTGGCATGGTTTTGCTAAACAGCAAGGCTGTGTGACTCCATCCTCGTGGAGGTGCTCCAGCACTGACCAGACGCACCCTTTCCAGGTCAGCACAGTGGGACCTGGAGCTCACTCCATCCAAACAGCTTTGGACCAGACTTTGCTGCTGTCTCCTGCTCAGTGTTTCCATTAGCTATGGCAGCCTGCTCGGAATGGTGTTGCTCAGACCTCTTAGGCAAGTTGCTGCAGGCCTGGGAGATCCTGTCTGCTTATCCAACTCCAACCAGTGCTATGGCTTGCAAGATATGTATACCTTGGCACTAAGGCAGCAGGTTGAGTCTGAGCCTTTCTCCAAGCTTACAAACACCAGGATACTGCTCACCCAGTGTGTGCATGTATCGGTAACAGGCTTTGCCTTGCAGAGCAGTGTTGCTGTGGCCAGGGTCTTGTAATGAGATTAATAGTGGGAAAATGCAACTTTCTTTCTTCAGGTGTGCTTTTTCCTCCTTTATACTGCAAACCTCCTGTAAACACTATTTTGTAGCAAAAAGGTAATTATTCAATGCTGTAAGACTAATCAATACACACTTCAAGTTTGCAGACAGCTCTGCATGGGAATTTTATGGCTTACAAAGAAGCTTGTGGCAGATCAAATCATGCCATGTATTTACTTTAATTTTTTCTCCACTCAGACGCACGTAAAGGCTAATCTCTGTCCTAGAGACAGCATACCAAGCAGGGCTGGACAAAGTGCAAACGATGTGGAGCAAAGCCCCAAGTTACAAGAGGAAATTTACTTCTGAAAACATTCAGTTCCTTGAAGCACATGGCAATTAGAGACACTCAGTGAAATAAACTGCAGCTACCGACACAATCAGGGAGAGTGGGAGACGTGTTGCAGGATGAAATCTCTTCCTCCACCTGCTCAGGTGTGACAAGCAAATCACAACACCACAATCTGTGGCAGCACTGGATGTCACAGGGAGTTTTTTGAAACACGCTATGGCTGTTTCAGATGTGGCCTATTTAGCAGTAATAATAATTGGAGTAAACAGTTGTTAGACAAAGCCTAACATGACCAGATCAACCCAGATGTGTTGACTGGTGCTTGGGATGGGTTTGTGGTTGGACTAGATGATCTCTTCCAACCTCAATGATTCCCCGATTCTATGAAAAATAAAAAAAAAATAGCTAAAAAGCCAACTCTTCCTTTAAGACAACAAGGTAGGGTTTCTGTCACTTCTGAGCAAGTTTTTCCTTTAATCTCTGGTTTTACCTTTTATTACCCATCAACACTGCCTTCATGACAGTGTGAGAGACGTTGAAATCTATCGGTAGCATCAGGATAAAGGAAGTACTCAGCAGTGTGCAGATGTAATCAGCACCAGCAACCACATTGGTGGCTTCCAGCTCCTCCAGTTTGTTTCCCAAGCTGTGTGTGTTGGTGTAGAGGCACTTCAGCTGGGCAGCTGGCCTTGCTGTCTTCTTGAAGGATAACTCATTATTTCCTTTGGAGCGTTTACCTTTAGTCTCCCTGTCACCATCATAAGATGCACATGTGAGGGCCCTCGCTAGCACCTTGTTGCTCTAACTTTGCTGTGCCCTCCCACACCTTGTCATGGGCAGGCTCACTGTCCACCTTTCCCCCTTCAAACCTGGTTCAAAGCCCCCCTGGTGAACTCAGACATCTCCTGGGCCAGAATTCTTTTC